TTAAAACCATCTGCGCATAATAAAAAAAATGATAATTTTATTACGCGGCACCTTCAGCGACAAATGACATATAGACGACTTAAGTATGTATAGATGCTCACCTGTTCAGATCAAATTCACCATAACTTGGATTTCCGCCAAAATGTTTAGTAGACCACTTTAGTTCCAGGCCATCGAACTCGCCTCGTCACCTCCCGTCCACCTACTCACACACCTCTCACCATCGTCCTCAGTCTTGCGCGAGACGTAGTCATATTCCCAGCCACAACCCTCGTTTCACCCCCGTGTCTCCCACCAACAGATGCCTCCGCACACCTGACAAAGCAATTCGCAATTTCTTCACCCACGCCTCCTCATGCCTCTTCCTACGCTCCCTCACCTTCACTCTCCCCCCTCTCCACCCATCTCAGCCGAATTCCGCCTAGGCCCCACCGCCCCCGCAGTCTGCCACGCGCACGTCTAGACCTGGTCCACTCCAACGAGAACGGGCCTTCCGTGTGTTCATTCTGTCATGCATTTCCTTACGTCACTCCGGCGTCTCGGTGAGGTGCGGTGGGTGTGCGGGAGTTCACGAGGTGGGCGATCATCGCGCGCCCTGGGCGGCCACGCGGAGGCTGCCGGAACCGCCCCGGAAGACGCGCGCGCCGCCCTCTGCCGTTATGCCTGTGGGAATGCAGTTGGCGGCGGCGGCGGCGGCGGTGGCGGCGGTGGCGGTGCTGGCATATCACGTCGCCGCCACCCGCCGCCGCGCCACGCCGGGGCGCGCCCTCAGCCCCGCGCCTGTCATGTCTGCCGCCGTCACACCTGCGACGGCGCGGCGCCAGCCTTCCACGCCCACTGCCCGTCCCCATTGCAGACGTCGCGAATGTCCCTCGCACCACGCCGCGGAAGACTATTTTTCTGACAGCTGAAGAATGCGGAGAAATGGAACGCGTGTGGAATGCGGATATAGAAAGCAGTCATACTTTGTGAAAATGAGTTGAGATAAGACCTATCTGTATTGTGGTGTAAAATGTGTTGCAAATTTTTCGTTTGATTGCAACTGGAATTATGTATGTGTAACGCAAAGGGACAAATTAGAGAATGAAAAATTTTAATTTTTTAAAATATATATTATCAAACGCATAAAATACTGCTTCAGTTCCACAGGGGAACTTCTGGACATATACAAGACAATTATTGATGCTAAAAGGAAAACAAAAAACAGAACAGATGTGTTAACGCACGTAGTGGTGACAGTAGGAAGTAAGCTTCCTAGCCAGAGAGGTCCTATTTTGGAGTCGTGCGGTGGCAAAGAAAAGCTAAGTTGCTGGATCGAGACCGAAACATTTTTTTGTGTTATTACTTCGCTATAACTATGACGATCAGACATGTTAATTAGACTTCAGATGTTTTTATATCTCAGATTTATAGTTACGTACAGCAGGTGAGTCAAATTCACGAAATGATTTCTCACATGTTTATGTAACAAGAAGGTAAAGTAATATTCCCTTGCTTTGAACATCATAACTGAGTTACGGTACACAGTTGCATCATTCCCCAATGTTAATTCCGTTCAAAATCGATTCATAATTTACGGCACCTCCAGCTGGCACACCAAAGAAAATCACGCGGACAGAAAGCACCTACAAACAACTCTCGCTCGTGCGCCTCAATGTATAAATAAATAACGCTTAAATCGAATGCATTTATTCACGCAGGCCTTGTTCCTAACAATAACTATTCAAACGGCACCAATTTGGTGTGCGTCGTTAGCATATACACGCAGCTCTTCGCCGCGGCGGGGCGCACGGCGGGGCGCTCGGCTGGGTTGCCAGGCAGCGGTACTATTCGTTGCCCCTGAGCAGCAGAGGGGCGGGGCAAGGTTCTTGAATGATCGCGTTTCGGTGGCACCAGAGCGGAGTAGGTGGAAATGTGAGAGGCGTTGACGAGTACAAATTGGCACGAAACAAATGTAGCATCTGACAGGCGGCGTTTGATGAGGGGGAATTGATAAATGCAACAACGCAGTGTGACGGAATGGAAGAGACATGAGAGGGGGAAGACGAGTAATAAATGGAGAGATGGATGCGTTCAGTAAAGGAATCACCATGAGGACAAATGGCGATCACGAGGAGGTTATAACAGAAAGGTGAACACAAGAGAAGGCTGAGGAAGGCTGAGGAATGGAACACAAGAGAAGGCTATAAATCTAACGGGGGGGGGCGTATCAATTCCTTTTCCAGGAGTTGTTGCATCGTAAACAATGAAGCATTCTTAAGTTCATATAAAACCATAGTTCCTGACCACCGCACAAAATACGCGACTGATGATCGTATTGCAGTCGTTTACAAGTAAGGGTATGAAATATTATGCGTCCTAGAAAAATTGACCCTTTCAATTAAAAGGCGCATCAGTGAAAAAATAAGTTTTACATAGAAGCGTACCAACACCTTATCTTATAACACATGCATTACTTCTTTACAAATGAACGCAGTGCAAGGATATATTCAAATTCAGAGAACTCGCTATTTTTAGGATATGTCGCATGCAAATTTTATAATATCAGATTTATTTTAAAAAAAGTCCCCTGAATCCTCTTTACTCCGCTCTGAAATTAGAGGCTTGGCATTCATTTCCATACCTGGTGAATCACGTGACATAACATCCGATTTGTTTCCTAAACGAGAGAAAAATGTCGTTTGCACAATGGATAGCACAGATTGCACGGAACTTTTTTTAAATTTTTTTTTTACTTCCATGTGCTCTGGGAATATAGCGGCAGTCTATAATCAACACACTGTCTCTGAGCAATCTTGACCATATTACTTTCCGATTGAAAATGCCTGTTTTAAACAACTGATCATTTGAATTTGTTGAATTATTTCAAATAATTCACTTGTCCTCTGTGATTTTGTCACGTTTGAGTAATGAGATACATCCAGTACATATCCGAGCACGACTAATGCAATTAGCCTTTTCTTAGATCGTGGAGTCACCCGTCCGGCGTCATCCACCAAGGTAACACCAACTCCACTCCGAAAGCCGACGTTTTCTAACATTGTCTATTTCATCTTTTATAGTCCTTTCACTGGGATAGAACCAGAATGCGGAACTGCACGCACTGCAAATTCCAAATTAGATTTACTACTAATTCTGCCATTAAGTTTTGGCACTTCGTGGCAGAATACACGAACTTAACAATTTCAGAACTTAACAACTTTACAAAATTTACAAACTTTACAAATTAACGTCAATATTTCACCATGCCATCTTTCATAGCACTCCACCTCACCACACTTCACTTCACCGCACTGCGGATCACTGAGCTGTAATGTCGCTCTTACACACTCGTTTCCCTTAGTTTCACAACACCACTGCAATGCACATAATTTAATAATAATACGAGTAATAATAATAATAATAATAATAATAATAATAATAATAATAATAATAATAATAATAATACTTAATTACGTAGTAGACATAGTTACTTAAACTGAACAATATTAAAGATACAGACTCAGGAAACAAATTTATTTTTCAATTTGCTCACACTTTGAGGAGAGAGATCGAAGATTGTCACAGGCAAACCGTTCCAGTCTCCAATAGTTCGAATGGATATTTTCCAACGAGAAGCCAACTGCTCGAGACGTCAATCGCAGAGTCAGAAGCAGCGACCTCCAGGGCACAGACCGCTAAATCGAAGGCAAACGGGGGGCTCGGAGAGGAACTGCGCGGTCGCGGCGAGCGCGTCGCGGCGGCGGCGCGCGAAAAGGCGTGGCCGGCGCGCGATAATTAGGTGACGCGTGTTCGCGGGCCCGCCTCGCAATCGATAGAAGGGATCGATTCAGGGACAGGTGAAATTACCGGCGGCGCGCACGTAAATCGGCTTAGCGTGGAGAAACCCAGCGCTCGACTAATCTCCTTAGAAAGCGGAGGCGGCGGCGGCGGCGGAGGCGGAGGCCGCGGGGGCGGGCGCGGGGCCATTGCTGCAGGGGAGGATGGGACGCTCCATGCCAGCCGCGCCGCACAGTGTTCCGAAATGAACGAAAGAAGAGCCAAAAAGATGAAAAATAACACAGCTACATGAAAAAAGAAAAGTCACACCCAAGGACTTGACACAAGTCGATGTATGTTGATGCGCTGAATTCCAATGTGAAGCCAGAATTGCGCCATCACCCAACAGATTTTTAATCACGGAAAACTGGAAGGTGGTGGCGCAATTTGTGCTTCAGATTCGGATTCAGCGCGTCAACACACGCAGAGAAAAATGTGTCAAGTCTTGTGTCTGACAGCTTTTGTTAATGTATAATACTTTTAGTAGAGTATAAAGCTACAAGATTCCTAAATCAAATATTCACTTGTGTTTTTTAATAAATTAAAAGAAATTGGAGGGTGTTGATGCAATTATGGCTTCGGATTTGGGTTCAGCGCGTCGACATACATAGAGAAAATGTGTCAAGTCTTTGGATCTGAAAACTTTATTTTATTTTGTGTGCCTGTGTCATAAAAAAACATTCGTGTTACGCATTAAAGCCGCTTCTCAACTACAACTACTACAGCGACCATTGTAATTAACACAGGTTTTGTACCTTTGGGATGACGGTAGCGGTACACGCATACAGACACACACAAATCTCTTAGCATGGGGCTGCATTTGAAACCGGGACAGTACACACACGAGGAAGCTACGACTCTTTAGCATTAGCGATCTCGGCTACCCAGGCAGTCAGCTATTTTTTTTGGTCTATTTCAGTACGCCAAAAACACAAAAAACTTCGAGCAAGTCACAAACGTTCCAACTGCATGATTTGCAGACCTCCTCAGTGCAACCGAAAGTATATTAATTACTTCAGAATAAAAATACAAATTACAAAGCATGATATGAAGCCGAGTAAGTACTTGCTTGCAAATCACATGAAAAATTCCAACATCATAACGCGCGTTGAGTCATTTTGACCCATTACCTCGGGGATTCGGCTGGCGCGCCCGTGCACAAGGGCTTTCTCTGCGTTCCGCTAATCACGATGCCGCGCCACGCCGCATGGGCCAGTTCCGCTGGTTCGACACATGTTTCTCTTTGGGGCTAATCGTGACCACTGGCACATGGGGCTCTGGCTTCCAAAGGATTGTATCTTCTCATTCAGGGCAGATTCCTGCCCACTGCACGCTAATATGGACGAATGGTAATGACTTTCGGTAACATGGCAGGAACACGAATGCAAATGTAATAATGAAAATTACTTTCGTGAATGTGTGTTTGTGCGTGCGTGTATGCTGCAAGTACGTACGCGCGTGAGTGTGTGAGTGTGTTTATGCGGTAAACAATGAAAAGGGGAAGAGTGTCATGTATACAAAATACAGGATTTGCCATCCACTAGCTGCTGTTTTAAGACCATAATATTTAGGTCAGTTCGTGGTATGAGGCTAACACTGAAGGATCTAAAGACGCATTAAGTGTAGAATTAGGATGTGAAAGTTTTGACAGAAGAATTCTGTATCAACCTGAAAATATTGTGACTACGAAAGAAATGTCGATAAATGCAACGTTTGGAATGTGCTGACACTTCTCAGGAATTCGAACAATCTTACCCTTCTGACGAGGAGGGAAACTCCCTTTCGCCTGATCACACGTGTTGTAAATGTAATGCTAGAGAGAGGTCAATGTTACTGATCTTAAGGACTGCACTCTTGAGAACGTTGAGTAATTCGAGGAGAGATAATGGCTGAGAAAGGCGTGTAAGGTTGTACACAAGAGTTTGTTACTCTAATATGAGGAAATGGTGTAAATGTACGAAATAAACCTTAAATTGCAGGGTAAAGAAAGGTACTCTGAGCTGCTACGTAAGCGCTACAATCGTTAGTAAGTGCTCAGCCGAGAACAGGCACATAATGCAGGCTTATATTTTCCGCATCGTCACGTACAAAGCTAGAAAGAAAAACGGAACCTATGCGCAAACTCTTGCGAAGGTTTTCTCCGACCACCTCGCGTCTGGAGGTCTCAGATGAACCGGGAGGTCCCAGAGACGAACGGTGTGTTGGGGTGCACAAGGCCTCGACCGAGGTTTTGTCTATCTCCTTCGATTTAACAACCCGTGAAGCATAATTGCTGCTCTCCGCACTTGCAGTATACCGGCGCTGTCAAGAGAGGATTCTTGTCGGGTAGGGTCATCGGGTCGAGATGACAAGCCCCGTATGCGGGACCCGAAGAGAAAGGAAGGAAAAGCGGCGACGGGGTAGATCATGGCCCGTTTTTTGAGGAATCCCCCATCGCAAGTCGCCACGCGGAAGTACCCGATCCGGGTCCAAGAAAGCCGAAGCGGCCAGGATACTGCCTTAGAACGTCTTTCCGCCAAGAAGCGGAAAGCGATCTGTTCCTTTTCGCTCGAATGTTTAGATAATTACTCAGCCACTCAGAACAATCACGTACTTGGTAATCATTTTGCCTCAAAACATTAACGTCGGGTTTAGTTAAAGAGTGTACAATGCAAGGTCTCGTCTCGAGAGAAAGGATGGAGCTTATTGAATGAACACGAAAAAACGACCCTTGCAACCATCAACAGGATGCAATAAATACGAAGTTAAGTACTACCCTCCAACGCTTTTGCCGTAAAGATCCTGTTCTCTTCGCAAAATTCATGTTTGCCGTTTTCTAAGTACAAAGAATAGGAAAAAAATCACGAGCCATCTCCTTCCGTCGGAATGAGGGGACTATGGTGGAAGGCATATAACGACTTCATAATGCATATAAAATATGGTTGTTGCCGGTACATATACTTTACTTTCAGCCCCAATTACGAGTTGGGATGAGGTATTACACTAAACATTACGGTAAATATACACAGTAACCATTCTTTAAATTATATATCAAGTAAATTGATAAGATAAGTACAAACAATACTGATTTTAATTTCGAATTAGGAGAATTTGGATTTTGAATTAACGTAATATCATAGAAAAATAATGAAAAGGCGTACATTTTTGTATTAAAACTAACAATTAATTAGTCCGAAGGTATTATGATTTTGAAAAATCAGTTACAAATTTCGAGGCATTATTCCCTAATATTGTTTTAAAAATATCACAAAAATTGTTTGTTGTTCAAAATGTTTTCAATGTAGTAAACTTTCTGATGATTTAAAGCAAATTAATTCATTTTATTTAGGTTTATCAAAGAAAAAGTTAATTCAGTTTGCGAGATCTGAGTCCTTGTCTCAATGGTCCACTTCAACTACTAATTAATTCTATGAGAAGGAATTTGGTCGACCGTTAAGCGATTTTAAAGAAGAAAATCTTTTTTCCTTAGATTACTGCTACCGTTTATGGCTATAAAATGGAATACTGCTAAAAATACTGAATTAGGTTTACGTCAAAATAGGAATTTTGTAGACGGATTAAGTAAATTAGTACAAATAATCTGAGCGAGACATATTTTTGGTATTTAAGACCACTCCAGGTTTGTAAAGAATTCTAGAACATGCTTATGAGACATCTGAAACAATCAAAAAGGAACTATAGCTCAACAACATCGCAAATCTCTTCTGGACTATACATATGCGAAACGTAAGTGCTAGAAAGTCCCACTGCATTGTGCTTTGTCTTCTCCGCCTCCGAAGTTGTGCCACAGGCATACATATCGACACTCATCGCACGGGTGTTTACGACAACGAAATTGCGAGGAGTTTTACCGTCCCTTTACGCATGATCATTCGCAGTCTTTTTTTTTAGGGAAATGACTGCTCTGACCGGGCAGTGATGAGAGAAGCTTCGCTACAGCTACTGAGATAACCCCAGTTCTGGGGTGATTTTTCGTAGTAGTTCAGCTATAGCAAGAATACTCATGTATAAATTTAAAAAAAACATAGCAAACACGAAATCTGTAAAAGTCAATACACAAATTTGAAGGGAATTAGCAGATCAACTAAAAGTTTCCACTCACCATCGGAGATTCCAGCGGCGCACACAGCTGCAATACACATTCCTGGAACACCACAGGCTGCTGAAGCTGCGAGGCGTTAATAGCCACCAGCTCAGTCGCGTCGTCCGGCTGGTCGTCAGCGGTCGGTTCGTTGTCAGACACGGGTCCTGACGACACGGTTTCGCGCGCGTCGAAAAAGCACTCGTTCGCGTCGCCGTCGCCATCGGCGTCGTCCGGGACGACGCCGGGGACGGCGAAGGAGAGCTCGAACGGGAAGGCGGGGCGGTCGGAGAGCGGCGTCCCGCCCTCGGTGCGCGGGTCCAGCCCGGCGTCGAGCGCGGAGGCAGCCACATGCGCCGGGGGCTGCGCGGCGGGGGTGGCCTCGGCCGCCGCCGCCGCCGTCACCGTGGTGGCGGTGGGCGCCGGGAGCTGCGCGGCCGGGGTGGCCTCGGCCGCCGTCACCGTGGTGGCGGAGGCGGACGCCGCCTCCACGGGAGGCGCCGGGGGCTCCGCGGGGGCGGCCAGCTCCTCCGGCTCGGGCCCCTCCAGCGGCGGCAGCTCCAGCACTTCCTCCTCCACCGCGCCCTCGTCGAACATCTCCACGCCCAGCTTCAGCTGCGACGCCTGCGCACATTGCAACGCTCTCACTGTCGGAGGGCTTAGGGACATTTCGGAAAACAAATAGCAAGAACACCCTTCGTCCACATTCGGTAGAAAGTAAGTTACACTCGATTATAACACGAGGTGCTTTGACAGTTCGTCAGTTGTGCCACTCCTCGGGAGTATAAATGCAGAAATTCATACATTACATATAAACAGTGCACAAACTGATTCAAAGTCATTATTTTCTACCATTCAAATAGTATTTTAAGCTGAGCACGGAAACTCTCGAAGCTCAGGACAGTTTATGAATTATTCTCATTACAGTAATGTGTGGTACAACTCTTTAGAAGAAATCAATGCAATGTTGATGTTAGTATTGTAATGAAAATGGAAAAAGAACCGTCTGTCAGTACTTATGAAAAAAAGAGTGAAATATTCTTCCGAATATTGAAGAAATAGTACACTATCTGGGATGATGGGAGCTTATAGCATTCGCAAACAGAAATTGCCATCTTGGTAGTCAAAAACGATATAATAGGTTTCAAGAAGTGGTGGCTATCAATGTACAAGAATAATCCCTTTTATATTGAAATCTCAACGTCAAACCTCCAAAGGTCTACAAGAATAATAAAAATGGAGAAAAAACAAAAGGCATTAAAAAAAGTTACTTGAAAGAAACAGGAATAATGCATTATTTTATAATAAACGTAACTTTTTTTTTGAATATATACTTCTTGCAATCAGCGATTCAAGTGAATGTCATGTTCAATCACGCATCATGTTGTTGGCTCCCGTAAAATGACTTCATTATTGGTAACGGATCACGTGGCGAACGTACGCACTCACATTAAAGAATTGGTTTTAAAATTACGTAATAATTATCAGAAAACTAATGTGTAATTATTGTAATACGGTGTTTGTGATAAACGATTTTAAAAGAAAAATAACAGAGCATTACCTGATTACAATTAATGCTGTGAAGCAGTGTTTTTATCAAGTAACTTAGTTTATTCCTATTTCAATAAAGTGATGATGATGATGACAAGGCGCCTGAAGCTGATTGTCGTTAATAGATTTATGTTGACTACGATAACACTAGAAGGCTTCGATTGGAAAGTGTGTTTTTCATTAAAGCTTAACTCTTCTTTGTTCTTGGTAGAAAAAGAACTATAGTTATCTGCGGGACAAGTGCTCTGAAAGATACGGAGTTTCCCTAAAGGAACTTTCTTAGATTAGAAAGTAACAATTTATCCTAATTAGATCTTTAAAAGTATCCCTTGGAACAATAAATAGAAAATGAAGATATCTATCAATTCAGAATTTTTTCAATAAATGGTGAAATTAAGAAACTAGTTAACGAAGATGTTACTTCATTTTCTCACATTACGAGTGAGATCAAAAGTGTATATTCCTTTCTTAAGTTAACATTAATAAACTAAATATGTTTCGTCGAAATAAAAAATACACAAAAAATTAAATTTCAAAATATTCTTATATCACTTTTATAGTAAATTAATTGATGTATGAATATTCATAACAAATTGTACATTTCTAAAAGTTGTTTGCCTAGACAATGTCCAGTTTGAAAAATCACAATCAAACCAATTTAAGATTCCCTGGACTGTCTTAAACGAAACGGAAATGCAGAGTTTACTGAGCATACGTGATCGAATTGTCAATATACATCGAAAATGTATCGAATCGTGGAACTCTTAATTATAATCTATGTTTTCAATGACGTAGCAAAAAATATCGAAATACTAAATAAGGAAAATCATCCATCTCTCTTGATTCTACGTATTTGAAAAAAACAAATTATATATTATGTAGCGTAAAGTCACCTAATGTGGAATATGTTCCTAAGGTGAAATACCGAAGTATCGGACCTGTACTGAGCTGACGTTAGACGTTAATGCATTTATTATTTGCTAAAAAGAAAGATTCACTATTCTTCGTTCGGAACAGGGGACGTCTAATGAATGTATGTAGATATTTTTTAATTATGAAATATCGTGCATTTTTAATAGATTTAAGTGAACAATATTAACCACACGTGTTTAGAAATGACTAGTTTAAGTAATCTACACTGGTCTTCAAATTTGCGCATATTTGTGGAAATGTAAAAATTATTCCACATTCGGGCACTTTACTCTATTAATTCTAAATAATTACTCAAGAACGTTTTCAAAAATATTTTCTGATTTTCTGCTGCATCAAGTACTTGTAAGACTGTTCCAATGATATGTTTACAACACAAATGCGAATTCAACACATTGAACATTATGATACGTAAAACTTGTTTGTTCAATGTAACAAATGACCTGTCACAGACAGAATACGTTTTAGGCACGAAGACGAGGTTTCGCGTTGTGTTGTGAATTTACTTCAATTACAAGCAATGTCATTACAATCTCATCCATGTGTATGACGAGTAGCAAAACGCTGATGGAATAAACAGGCGACGTAAAGTGATCTCAGCAAAAGGTTAACAGAAGTATGGAAAGAAACATGTTTTACAGCCGCTACTAGCTATCGACAATCATTGTACCTAATGCAAAATTAAAATTTTCTTCACAAATGGTATAGAACGTAGGTAAAAGCACAGTTATATAGTAATGAGTATTACTACCTAATTCAAATGGTAATACCGGAACTTATTCAATTTAGTACTAATATGATTGATACGAACAGTTTTCACTCATTATTCTTCGACAGTTTTGTATTAATTAGCATGTGGATACTTAGGATTTGAAGCTAAAACGTGAAAGTTCAAATCAACAACAGAGATACACACATAAGATCTCATAGATAAATGCGATATTGTCACTTTCGGTCACGTGCTTCTTCTTTCAGGCTAAAGTATTAGCATGAAACTGATATAACGTCAAAATAGATATAACATTTACGAAGTAATCAATAACCCTCAATGTTCTTTCGAAGCTTTTAAAGATCACAAGTTTTAAAGTTTCATTTTCAAGAAAACTTCCAGAATATAAAATGTTCCTTCGATATCTGCAAGTTTTGACTTCCGTATTTTCCACCAGGGAGCGTCGTAATAGGTGAATTAGAGATCTGATGATGGGAAAGTATTCATTGTCGGAGGATTTAATTTTCTTGAACATTTAGTTAGAATACTTTTACCTTCCTCAAGGAGAGTTTGCGCGGGATCTGTACATTGGAGGAATGTACATTGGAGGAAGTGCGAGGAATGTATCTGTACATTGGAGGAAGTGCGAGCGAGACATGAAAAGCGAGATATTGCGCGAGATTTTAGCAACATCGATATTTTGCCGTCGAGGTAACGTCGGCCTAGTGCAAACCAACGACATGGCATTACGAATAGGGATGGCAAAAATGGATGTTTTTAAAACATCGATGTTTGGCATTTGATTTTTCTTCAGATTGATATATTTCTTCAGAAACATCGATGTATTTAAAAAATTCTAATGATATAAATAAAATTACCAGTATCTAATATTTTTGCGGATTACTCGCAATCAACAGCCATTGACAACTGTCATCGTTGTCGATCTCCAGAAGGCACGAAACCGTTTGCTGTTCCCAATCTTTCTACCGAATTATTACCTTTTTTGATTATTTTTCACGTGGATATATCGTTATACTGCACTTTGAACCTTCACAGCAAAGATCGTTTATTAGTAAATTAAGATGACAGTCAAACAGACGGCAGAATATATACGGCAGAACTAATACTGACGTGGTATGTATCACATTAGAACCATGGCATTTTACTTCGAATTTCATTGCATTTAAAAAAATCAGTATTTTAAACATCGATGTTTTTTGTGACAGAATAATTTCATCGACATTGAAAACTCTTTGTTGATGTACTAAAGTGTCGATGTACGAATGTTTTTCTAGAATTCGCCGTCAGTAATGACGAAAGGGCGAAAGCACGGCCACTCACCAGCAGGTCGGGCGGCGGGGAGGAGACGGGCCGCTCGGGCAGGGCGGGCGGCGGCTCGTCGGCGCCCACGTACCACGACGTGGTGCTGACGGCGTCGCGGCCGCCGCTGTTGCTCCGCCGCTTGGACGACGTGCGGCGGCGTCGCACCGGGGCGGCGGCGGCGGAGGGGGCGGAGGGCGGCTCCCCGTCGCCCTCGCCGTCGCCCTCCTCCTGCCCGGCCACCGCCGCGATGCTATGCAAGGCGGCGTCCTTGCACTTCTTCAGGTAGCTCTTGACGCGCTTGGCTTTGCTGGACTTGCGGGCCACCCCGCTCCCGCCTCCGCCCCCGGGGTTGAGGTCCGAGGGCGGGGCGTCCCCGTCCGCGAGGGCGGCGTCGGCGGGGACGGGGGCGGCGTCCTGTGCCGGGACGGCGGAAGCGGATGTCGACGGCCCGGCGGCGTCCAGCTTCTCCTCCCAGCGGCCGGGGGGCGGGCCCAGTGGGATCGGCTCATCGCACGGGTTGACCTGCGACACACGACATGTGCACTCAGTAACAACACTCGGCTACCTACAGGAAACAGGAGTTACATTAGTAATAGCTTTATGCGATGCGTTCAAATACTTAAGATTCACAATTGTAAAAGAGGGCGCCAGAGATAAAGACGATCTTTTTTATTGCTTCAGTACTCAATTACGATCTTTCACTGGCATGATCACATCCACCAATTCTAGACTGTGAAAATCATCCAGAAATACTTCAGAGTAAGCGTTTAAAGAAATCCTCAAATATTTTGGCATAATACGAAAGTTGAGTCATCGGCTTAAATCGTTCAGAAATCATCCTTTACGGCACTGTTAGTAACACACACAATATATTTAAAACATAGTAAATGGGAATTCACAGTACAAGAATCTGAACACGTACTAAGCATTTTCAACTGTACTCCCCCACACCCGGCACACATCACGCGCAGTGCAGGTCACCCCGCGAGGCGGAACAACCCACGTGCTCCTCCTCGTGACCTTTCATAAGAACGGCCCGCTACATTGTCACGAAGAAACCGTACACGCAAGTAAACATTGGCGCGACTGCGAGGGGCGGGGGCAAAGTTCCCGCTTCCCTTATTGCGATCAATGGTCCGGCGGATGATATATCTAAGGCGTCTAGACAATGAGTTAGGGCTTCTCCTCGCAAGCGGACTGGCTGCAGCCCCGCGGGCACGGGGACCAGGGGGGAGATGGCGAGGGGGACATGAAGCGAGGGACGGCACAACGCGCGACCCCTCCGGGATCAAGTGGGCAACTGGTGCGGTCACGCGTGGCTATCCACCGCCGCAGCCGCCGCCGCCCAGCCCCCACCGGGGCTCGATCCCGGATGCACCCAGAGCCCCCCCCCCCCCGAAAACCGCCATCGAGTAGCATGTGCTCCAATGTCGCTTTAACGCCGTTCATTTTTCATCCTGATTTCCGAGTACCTTAAACGTATAGTGGGAATTGAAAGGTCGGTAGGTGTAACTAATGCACATGTTCGAAACAGGCACACAGGAAATGTTCGCATAGGAAATGTACATTGTTGATCATCGTATCGATGTACTGTACATTTGTATCTTAAACATCCTTGCCTCTTTGAAGATGGATCAACTGAAGTAGTAGAAGGATTGAGTCAAAATGGATATTATCCAACACACGAAAATAATGTCTAACATACAGGTAATAGCACACACAAACACACACACACACACACAAACACACACACACACACACATACACATATATGAGTTCATTGCAGTCAATTGTACAACACTTTATCAATCCGTCAAGCGAAGTTTATAAATAGCGAATCTCACGAAACGTTCACATTAGTACATTATTGTCTTACAACTCCTTATAAAATTACGAACACTGCGAGACTGTCCCCAGTTTATTGCGAACAGAGGTTGAATATTTATATCTTATTGTGAATTTACACCGTGCGCAGTTCTCGGGCTTACAATATACAGGATAAATCATTTCATACTGTAAAACACACAGGCGAATACCTCGTAAATTTAACAATAAATAATTGTTTGGCTGTTTTGGCCTCAGAAGCATACATTGCCGAAGAAAGTTTATATTGTAATATTCGAGTAACATCGCGGCCTGAATATCAGGACCGTAGTGCGTTTTTTCAAGATTCGAAGCGCCGTTGTAGGATTCGACATTCATTAACGTCATGTGCATACGATGAATGCACTGCATTTCTAATTGTCTATGGGCACGATCACAAAACACGCTCGATACACAGACTACCTTAATATGCATCCTAATTTCGGTAATGCTTGGATACATCTTCGCAATAACGCTTCTTTAGCCACAGCAATCTGGGGATTATAGAAGAAGAGAAACCGTCCAGAAACTCAGTGGAAAAACAAAGCGCCTCTCAGCAAAATTATACTTCTTCTGTATTAGACAAACATTTGATCATCTAAAACAGAGGAGAGAGGTGTGATTTTTACTGCATGAAATCACTCCCTCAGTACTGAATAACAATTAACAATAATAGAACAGTCAGTCACCAATCAGCCACCGTCCTGGACACTTCGCCCGAGGCCTCGCCACTAACGATGCCCACTGCAGTCGTGGGCGAAACGTTTGGCAGTTCAAAGACAATTGGACCACAGCCCAGCAGCCTGGAAGACATGAAGAATATTGACTCCGGCCGTGAAAGCCTTCAATGCTTTACAATAATAGAACAGCGAGTAAACACACTCTTTTAGAAATCTTACAAGCAGCCTTCATCTCCAACTAATCGCCAAGTTGAGAAAAGAAATTTCATCAAGGAATAGTGCGTAAGCTTAGCAGACAACGAAAGCTTCTCCCCCTTGTGCTCCAAGCGTTACTCGCTTACGACCGTCACTCCCCACGTGAGGATGTTCTAACCGTCGTTGACAAGCAACGTCGCAACGGGACCTCGCCCACAGAGCAGCGCACAAACCACGCAGGGGATTAGCGTTTAGCCCCGTTTGTAATTCACAGCGACTCGTGAAGATAAAAATCAGCCCTACCCTCGTGGAATTACGGCATATCTTCATTAGAGCCCCATTTGAGGCCCGTTTCTCTGAATACAATTACCGTGATTGAGATATTTGGGAGCGCGCTCGTCTTCGTCAGAGCATGGGCGTAATACCCTTAAATTGCCGCCAGGGGCGTCCTCAGAGGCCGTCCTCATTAGGGCGAGAGCCCTCATTCAACGAAGAGGCACTTTAATGTGGAATAATCTACGATACGAGGCAGCGGGCAATTTGGCAGAAAATCTTCAGAAAATCCTTTGGATGTTTCGAAGCAACTTGGATGCGTTTGTAATGGGACTTTACGCTTTCTGGAGGTATCTTATCTGCAGCTAGTTCGACGTTTAAAGGGAGTTGTGAGCGATGTGGTAGAATGAATTGTTCTTTTAGATGAATCAACTCGCTGTACGTCTTGCTTAGTGGTGTACAATGATTGCTGTGAATAAATTCTGTTTACGTAATGAGAAAATCTTGAGATCGATTAATTGAGTATTTAGTGCATAGTATGAAGTTCATGTACGATCTTAAGTTAAGTAGACTCGCTATTATGTTAACACGTAATGACTCTAGTTACATGATAATGAGAAGTCAAAATATGTTAAATAAATGGGAGAAATGTAAAGAATGCCATATATTCAGGTTCGAAATTTTAATGATTTACTTCATTTTTTTCAATCCGAACCTCAAGTGTAATAATTTCGAGACATTCAGACTAGCTTGTTTAAAAACATACTTAGTTTTTACTTATATAAATTATAATAAAATATGATACTTATATAAAATATAATAACAATTTTAAATATGGCAGTCTACCTCATGGTTTTGTTTCAGAATGTCGCTATTTGTGGTACACCAGCTGAGGATTTCTGGTTTAGCTATTCTTTTCTTGAGCCAACCCTTTATTTTCCTTTCGGGAGAAAGCAACCACTTAGGAAAAACTGGGACCACACTGGAGACCGCGGCCATAGACATATCGTCCTCAGCAGCCCGGCCACGCATGCAATTACACGTGCCGAATTTATGGCTCACGGCGGTCGACCGATGTCAAATCGTCCAATTATAGAACCTTTACCGATAATCTATCAGGCGTTATTCCGGGCTGTTTGGAGAGAAACCCACTGGCGTAATGGCACACTCACGTCCCAAAGAAAAGGACCACTTTGTTTCACCCAGTCTTTCGGCAGTAAGCGTCGACTCCACTTCTGGCGTAGGATTCGTATTATTACTTGGTCGCAGGAACCGAAATAACTCAGTTCCTGTGGCGCAGGCGGGGCGGTGGAATCGGCGGAGGCCGCGCCAGCGACGGCTTTAGGATAGGTGGGGGAGAAGGAAGCGGCGGAGACGATGGTGCCGGCAATGGGAGACGGCGAGGGCGGCGGAGGAGGCGGGGCGGCGGGCGGCAGGGCGGCGGGGCCGACGAGATCCGTGGGGGTGGCGGTGGCGGAGGCACTGGTGGCGGAGACGGCGGCAAGGGTGGCGGAGACGGTGGGGACGGTGGGGACGGCGGGGACGGTGGAGACGGTGGAGACGGTGGGGACGGTGGGGACGGTAGGGACGGTGGGGACGGTGGGGACGGCGAGGGCGGCGAAGGCAGCAGCGGCGGCGGAGTTGATGGCACCGACAGCAGAAGCACTGGAGGTGGTGACGAAGGTGGGGTCCGGTGGGATGGGGGCGGCAGAGGTATTGACGGAGAAGGCGGCAGCATCTACTTCATTTTGGACTCCGTTCGTGGGCTTTCTCCCCGGGAGAAACCATGGTGTTCCAACGACCGTTTATGAACAGCGCGAAGCGAATAACGGCTGCGGCTTTGCACAAATCACAGACGCCAACACTGTGCTTCTACTTCCGAATGACCCGAGGAGGTACATGGTTTGCCTGTGGAACACAGGACTAAAGGAGACAATATGTTCAGTGCTATTATGTATTTCATAATTTGTCGTCTATTTGCAAACCTAGAAGGCGCCGACGCCTGCAGAGATGATGGGTTCCAGGAGAATATTTCAAAGCATACTATCATGACCTGTATGCCGTTATGCATTACATAACAACAGAAGAAATTTACGATACTAATGGTGGCATAATATCTTTCCTGTGTTGTAAATTACTATAACTCTAAAATTTAAGTTTTCCATTAGGTATCGAATCGCAAGTTTTACACGCTGATGGAATAATCCGTATTACTACTTTCCAACGCTTGCAGAAACTGAAAGAAAACTAAGCAGCCCTTACCCACGTAAAAGGTGTCTATGGCACCCAGGAACTCGGTAAACGTACAAAAACAATGACACAATTTCGAGAAACAAGAGTTTCGTAGACAAGGGAATTCTTGTGTTCCAGAGGGAAGCGTGGTAACCCCTTTAAAGAAGAACGGGCCAGGCGCCGGTGAGGAGCGATAACCGCGTGACCATACACGCGCGGAACACGTGGCCGGACAGCCGCCCGCGGCCGCGCGCGCACTCCATAACTCAGGACGCGCGGAAGGATATGTAATTTCCCCGCGAGAAATCCGAAGGAACCGGTCCGCAGGGCTCGCTCTTCGCCCGGCTGCACCGATCTGGAGCCTCTTGCCTGGCTGACCGCCCGATCCATTCCACCCGGATAGCCCACCCGCCCACCACATCGTCCATCCGTTAGCTAGTCCACCTGATCGCCCACCTATCCCATCGCCCATCCATTCGCCGGCTTTTCCGATCGCCTGCCTACCCGATCGCTCGCCCACCCACGTGATTGCCCACCCAGCCGTTCGCCCGCGAGCGCACTCTATTACCCCAGACATTTGCTCCTGCACTTCTGCCTGTACCTCCGTCTTCCACTCTGCGGCTCAATCGCCCGTGTTCGGGTTTCTTTATCTGTTCGTCTAGTTATCTCCATTCGTCTAGTTACTACACTCAAGTAAATTGTCCTCTCGCCCACTCGTCAAATCGACTGTTGCTCTCTCTCTCTCTCTCTCTCTCTGGATAGATACCATCCTCCCTGTTCATCCGCATACCCGATAGCAACACTACCCTGTCGCCCATTCATTCATTTATTCCATCCATTAATTTAATTCATCCATTCAGTCATCCATTCATTATTCATCCATTCAATATTCATCCATTCAATATTCATCCATTCATTTATTCCTCCATCCTTTTATTCATCCTTTCATTCATATCCTCATCATAGTCATCCCACACAGTTAACGTAAAACAAATGTTCGTCAAGCTGCTTGCCCACTCGTAAAGTTACACATTCAATCACCCATGTTCACAAACCAATTCACCAAGACATCCACCCATCCGTTCCTTCCGCTAGTGCAGTCATCCCTACAACCCAACTTCCCAGTACGCTCGTCTACTCTCGATTTTATTGTTATTGCGTACGACAACTTACAGCTAATTCAATGTATTTAAGGTAGATTACAACTCACGTATACAAGTGTATAGTTATAATTTAACACCATTAAGTGGTGGAAGTTAATAATTAAATAATGAAGTTTACAAGTATGAAACAAATGAATGCTAAATGATATAACTCAATTTAGAATTTCTATGATTTTGCAGATTTTGTTTCAATTTGTCACTCTGAATAAGTTTTGTAAAACTTAGGCAATTTTCGCATTTCTTCTTGTCGCCATCTTTGGTGTTCCCTACTGACATCGCTAAAACCCGAAGCCCTCTGGCTCATCTGTTTGTTAACTGCACTCTCGCTCGTAGTTCCCGCGGCCCCCGCGTCATCGCCCCATTCCCATCTCGGGCCGTTCCGCTCCGCCACCTCTCCCTCCTGTTCCCAACTCCCACCGCCTGCGGCACCCTGCACTCGGCCGCTCACTGCGCTCGATCAGCGCCCACACACACACACACACACACACACACACACACACACACACACACACACACACACACACACACACATTGGATTTCCTTCTATCTACTCGCACATTCCCGCCCACTAAACACTCCCTCCTGTCATTTGCAGCAAACGGGTGGGAGGGGGAGGGGGAGATGCAGGCAGGAGGTGGCAACGTCTTCGATGGGAGACGAGGCGGCAGATCCTAGGGAAGTGGACGATCGACGATTGGACGAGCCAAGGGTTAATGAAGAGCAGATTGATAAGTGACAAACAATGAACGAGATGCGGGTACGGGGTGAGCGAATGGATTAACACCGAGTGATCCGGGTGGGAGGGGCGCCTGTCGGCGGCACACGGTCTCGTCAGGAACCGCTCCCACCAACACCACCCAACTCCTCCCCCAAACCCGCTCCTTCGCAGCGTCCGCCCGCCGCCACACCACATCCACCGAGCTGCTAATTTCATGCATGGCTCGCTCCGAGCTCTCTAATCCATCAAATTTAAATTAAAGCCTGACCATCACTTGGGACTTCAAACAGCAATAATTGCGCGTGCGCCGCCCCCGCCGCCGCCCCCCTCCCCGCAGTGCGGCCGCCTAATGGCGGCGGTAACGCGATAAAACGATTAGGAGCCGTTCTGAAAGGCGTTCGACTTTTATGAGAGCGCATTCACTTAGCGCGGTAGCCCCGAGAGGCCCTTGGGGCAGACGCTGGGGCCGGGACGGGCCGAGGAATTATGGGGCCACTGCGCGAAATCGGACGTGACACCTATTAACTGCAAGTATTTACACGACCGAATCCTGTCTAAGCTGGAATCGAGTTAGATAAGAATAATTATTGTTGGGAGGAGTGACCGAACATGCCGGATTCGACGTGCGGGATTTATCGTTGGGCTGGTTCTTGAGAAAATTTAAAACTCATGAATGTCTTCAAAGCGACAAATGTAAATGTAGAGTAGAACAAGATGTCAATGCAGTGATTGGAACAAGAGTGCGAGAGAATGTTGCAGTCACACAAGTTTTATAACGCTAGCTATTCAATGGCAAGTCTAATAAAGTCCATAATGAACGTTTTATTTCGATGAAAGTGTACCATTTTTTACAATAGTATACTACAATTATTTTTCTGACTCTGAAAATTTCCATAATATACTAGAAAAACGTGATTAATAGAATTAAAGATGCTGCAGGGCCCATCCGTAAACAAAGAGTAGGGGTACTCAGAAGAGTCGATTGCCTCAAAATGTAACACAAGAGCCAAAAGATCTCAGTTATAGATAACAGCAAGAGAAACTTGAGTTTCCACCTATCCTTATAATTCTGTTCCTTTCAATGTCTCATTCGTGGAAGATTTTTTGATTGCGATATTTGCAAAACAGAAATAATAAAGTTGATTTCTCTGAAGGAAGTTTGTAATTATACGGAATGACTATAACCTTCATATAAGGTGGATAAAAGTTATTGCATATTCAAGATTTTGAAGGTATTATTTATATCAGAATAAAAGGGTATATCTTGGCACGGAACTTCACAATTATGGATCCCGGTCAAGTAGAAATCCAGGGTACGGTTGTTAAAGTACTACTGTAACGTTCATAAAATTAATCAATGAGTCTAAGTAGGAAAGAAAGCGCAAGATAAAAGTCTGAATAGACGATACCAAATAAAAAAGCAATACCTTTCATGGCATTACTAATAAATGAAACTATTGAAACTGTTTCCGCTAGAGAAGATAGAAGAAACAGATTGGGATTAGTAACACTAGTTTTTCTAAGAAAGATATCATGATAGTATCGTTGCTCTCGGCAAATGAAGTGATGTTATTAGTTGAATGAAAACACAAAATTAAGAACATATCAATATGTGACATGAAATATACAAGAACATTGAAGTTCTCCCAAATACATCATTGAAAGAAAGTTACAAATGCTTTGATGATATTCAACGGTCGAGAAACTTTCGCTAAAGATATTTTGTTTGATACATGATTTCTATTAAATGTAACGTTCGTGTCAGATAAAAAACTGTATTTCTAAAAAATGGAGAGTCCTATTCGGGACTCTTTCAGCTTCTGATAATACTGTAATGTTTGAAGACCTTCAGAAATGTTCAATGCTGAATACGGTTTGAAAAACCGGCTTTTATCTTTTTCAAGAATTACTTCCATCGCCTCTTAGGCTACCCGACACGCATTCTCATCGCATTACCATGGCGGCCTCTGCTTAGCAGACTGGCAGCGCTGCGTTCCCAGGGTCGAGAAACCTCCTTTGCTTACCAACACAGAGCTCGTCGACCCTCGCGCCGGCAACAGGTACACAAACGGAGAGAACGGCCCGGAAAGAGAAAAATGGAGGGATACAAAGAGAAATGGAAGAGAGGTTAACGAAGGGGATTCCGTATACGGTAGTTCAGGCGAAATTATTTCCAGGTGCTTAGAATGGTGTCACGCAGTTTACGGTTGCATTTAAAAGACGCAAATTGAGGGAAAATGCATCCTACGCGCCTCATTCCAGGCCTGGCGGAGGGGATGTTAATCTAAGGTACTTTGCAACAGGATCCAATTCTAACTGGGAGTTTAGTAGAGGTAACGGTACCTCAGTAGCGAAAGGAAAAACGACGATAAGAATGTCATTACATTTTGAAATCTGGGTTTTTGACTTAGAAGTATGTATTATTGAATTCCGGAACAAGTGCATGTCAAATAAATCCACATTCATTTTCTTTGAAGTGTAGGATAGTATATTTTTCACACGGAAAAAATAACAGATGCAGTATACTAGATTCATGATACTGTAACAAGGGAAGTTGTTACAATATCATGGATCTAGTATACTACAAGTGTACTTATTTTCCGTACACACTACCGCCATACCGATTGCGATCATATGTTAACCAAATTCTTTATTGTAATTTCTTTTACAAAATGTGTGAATTAGAGACACGTAAATCATAGTACGGATATTTTGATACTTAAAAGCAATGTTATCGTATAATACTGACGAGACATAAATGAAGGAAAACTATTTGGTTTGACCATGAAAGCACAACCTTCCCCCAAAACTGTTGTTCTTAATATACAGAACGTCTCAAGCGTTCACATCACCTTTTCCGAAATCTTATTGTAATTTAGTAGATCAAACAAGACTATTGTGATTATAAAATATCTCGCAGAGGTAAATAAGAACAAAACGGCGTATCACAAGACTGAGTAAATTTTTTCACTAGAGAAGAACTACTGTCCTTAAATAACCAGACTGAAAAGGCATGAATGCAAGTGGCAAAAATCATAAAGTTTACTGTTTGAGGCTGTTCCAATACCAATACCTTCTGATCGGAGACAAAACGTGTCTACATTCCTCAAAACGTATGTAACAATAATTTCTCTAGTTGACTCGCCGCTGTACCAAGTAAATTCTCAGCGTACATGTTGATAACAAGCAGTTTACACCGTACTTCGATTTGTGTTGGAATGACGAACAACAGAAAACAGGAGAAAGCGGTTTCGAGGGCGGGAGCGCGGGGGCGGAGGAAGCAGCGGCAGGTCCGCAGCGCGAGGTGGG